CCCGACCATCACCGCTCCAGGTATCAGCATCCACGGCTGCACCTCCAACAATTTTCGGCCGTCTGCGACTTAAAACAAGTGTACTTCCTCTTTAAAAGGCAAAAAGTAGATGACAGATAATATTACGTGGGATACGTACATTGTGATTTGGACCAGGACAGCTTTAAGCTTTTGGGATCCGGGATTAACAGTTCTCATAATTTAGGATTTTTACTAGGCTCATAGACGGAGATAACATTAAAACGTAGATTAATTATCTGAATAAAATGGATTTTACTAGCTCAGGAAGGATGGAACGACAGTCTCTAGTGACGAAGAAAAATAGTCCTTTCAGGCCCACATAACAATGTCTCTTCTCGCTCAAATAAATAATCTTTTTCCATGGGAAGAATATGTAACATGTAGTCTATCACTTGTTACACTTTCGGCCGATTATGAGGTTTCTTAGTCAAACTATTCCGAAGTCAGCAAGAAGTCACTCTGCAAGTCTGCTAACCAGTTAATCCAGACCAGCTCTGGGGATTGTATTAAGTGGGCACGAGGAATAAGACAAACAGATCGTGAAGCTGACCACGCACCTCTTGTAGGGCAAAGATTGTTGCGTGGTAACTTTACCCTAACTTTCCCACACATCTTCATTGGCGGCGCTCAACGAATTGGACTTTTGGCCGTCTGCCTACATCTATTCTACATACTTAAGATTTTCTTTTAAAATTATCTTTAAAACATAATATCTTAAAATTTGGAAATGTCTACGAGATTTAACAAAGCTAGGAAAAACCGCAGTAAAAGTAAACACTGTTTAGGTTATAAAACAAAATATTACTGTGAAGCTGAGGAAAACAGAGAAAAGGACATCACAATTAGAACAGAGCAGCTAACTCGCAGGACCTCATTCTGAAACTCTGAAAGGGAAGACCTGGTGCACAGTTCCTGCTCGGAATTCAGAAAGCGATAAAATAAAGGATAGATCGAACAGGTAGGTGTAGAGATAACTGTCTTATCAAGGGGCAGAATCGTCCATGAGAAGTTGACAGTCGCTGGCTCCACTTTTCAAAAAACCTTCCCAAACCTTACACAATTAACGAAAAAAACGTACGTAATGCGGTCGAAACAGATGCTACTCGAACAATCTTACCTGTTTCAACAAAATGGATTCCATCCTTTTCACCGCCATGAACTAGTTTAACGGATAAATTAACCAGACCCGGGCCCATTTTCTTGGTCAGAACGTTCACTATTATTCCAGGGACAAATGTGAAAGTCAAGCTTCTGTTCTGGAACAATTCTGTAATCCCTGACACAAGGAGCATATGTAACGTACGTCCGTCACTGATATCACTTTCATGCCACTTGTAGAATGCACCCAACTCACTCCCAGTATTTCTTTCTGAAGACACCAATCCATTGAATGCTTCGAAAGACTGATTGAGCCTATACTTTTCATTAATAATCCTTAGAGTTTCAGCAACGTTGAATAACAATGCAAGTTTAACACAAGATAAAAGTTTCCCACAAAACTTGCAATTTGTTAATCCACTTGTCCTCCCATAGATGTCACTGCCACTACTATTGTACTGCTCTTGCTTGTTGTACGTCATTGTGACAAGATCTTGGAAAAAATTTCCATTGGAAATAAAGTTATTACTTCTTGCTCTATAATCCAATGAGATGCTTGTGGTTTGAACTTCTTTTTGTGGACTAGTACCATAATGACTGACACCATTAACTGCTACGCTTTCGAGTTCGGATTTAGTATTGGGTACAGCCATACACACTGTTAACAATACACAAACAATCCTTTGTCTAGGTATTGGTAACTTAGAGTCCATGGTAACCGGCAAGTTGTAAACCAAACACTGACAGACTTGTGAGCGTACAACGTATTTGATGACCATCTGTGTGATGTTCTGTTACTTCAAAGAAAAACTCAACCACAAGAGAAAGGTACCAGGGCCGGACACTGAACCGGTTCTGGTTCGTGGTTAAGTAGAAGACAAAATAAGTTACAGAAGTGACGCCGGGATCGGCCAATCCTCAACAACCAATATTTCTGCAATATTTATAATTAGCTTGCAATTCCTATAAAGAATTTCCTTTTTCACTAGCAAAACAACAACGGAAAGATATTCTTCAGTGACTCGATCGCCAGAGTCTCGTTTATAAAAGCAAAGTATAAAGCATTAAGTAATTAGCATTAAGATATGATACGCTTTATACATTTGCACTCTGCCCCTTCTATAGCGATTATAAATATTACATTAATAACATGTTCGTCGTTAAACACATTGAGTAAACGCTGACTAGATTTTTTCATGTGATAACTTATGGCAAGGTAAAGCTGGTAGGGAGTCCTCGAGTCAGCGTGAAGGAATTTCAGAAGTCACACAAAAATGTTCGAACCACGACTCAAGTCATCTGCTCATTCTGTTTTCAACGGTCGACTGCTCATTCGCTTTGCGAGCAATGGACAGCTGATAGCTTCGATGTGTTCTGCAGAACTGACAAGAATACGCACAGAACAGAATAAATGAGGTGGATCGGGAAGGGTGGTATACAAAGGTTCAAAGATGGAAGCACGTTAGCATGACCATAAGTAACACGCTCTCTCATGATCCATTTCAATATTACCTTTCGATCGACAGACATGATAAAAGGGATTCTTTCCACTAACCTTTCTTGACGAAAATTTTGTGTAAATTTCTCAAGTTCTATACCTGTTCTACACGCCTCACCCACCACATCCTCACTGATTTGATGTAGTGAGCATTATACGTATTTGCAGATACAATTCAGTGTTGACAAGGATAGCCAAGAACAAGGACGACACAATGGACGGAGAGAACTTATATTATATGTTGAAGCAAATAACCACTAATAAATACAAGGTATTATTCGGCTAAAATTCTTTATGTACTATCAAACTTCTGAGTCGCGGTTAAGAAATGCCAAGAGTCCGTAGGCAATTCGTGTTTTGAAAACTCCATCATAAGTATAAGTTATATTAAAGATTTGATGCTCTCCCTCAAATCCATATTAATAAAGGCATAAACTGTTCTGCACGATTATAAACTAATTTTTATCGTTTATGGAAAAGAGTTAGTAAGATATTTATTTAAAATTTTATCAATACATGAGTGAGCAATAAATCCATTGCGGAGCCCTGAATGCTGGAACAGGAAGGAAACTTATTAAAGATATATCAATGCAGGAATAAGTAGGGAATGTTCTGAAGGTGAGCCTGCACCAATGATTCATTTAAAGCCCTAATTTGAAAGAAATGAGTCGTGAGTTTCATGTGCTGGCCAATTTGGCCCTGGAAAAGTCGGGAGAAATAACGCTGGGTCAACACCACAGCCAATTCGACATGTGACCTGTTTGTTATAGCATACCACTTCACTGCCCTCTGATACCCCGTTGAATCACTTTAAAGTACAAAAATGACTAAGCAATTTAGCTAATCTGTGACATCAAATGTGACGCACCAAAACTTTCGCACGTAAAATCCGTGCAGTTTCTATGTGCTACTACTAAGTAGTGCAACATGTGGCGTCTGCATAATCTCTCAATAACTTCATTCGAATTGTCAACTTCATCAGAGAAGAGCTTGATGAGAGAATCGAGAAATGAGGCCGACTGTAATTGACATTTACTTTCAGTTAGTTCATTTGTTCAACCGCTAGAGGGAGCCAAAAGGACAAATGCATGAAAAATTCTCTGTCTTCTACAACCCACCTATCTCTCTTTATTTACCACATCCACCGTATATCTGCCTCTCCACCTTCTGCCATCACAAACCTGTTCTTACATCAAGCACCCTGAAGACTTTGTTACTCTGAAGTCAAATTACGATCCGATATCAAATTACAATAATCGTTAAAATAAGCAAAAGGTCAAATGTAATTCTTATTTGTAATAAAGGCAAGACGAGTATCGTAAAACCATACTTTATACAGGACAGCTCATCTAACTGGCATTCATACTTCGTGCTTCAGTTGACTAAGTAGGTCACAGCAACTATACATGGATGTCACTACTCTAGAATTCAATTGTTTAGATTCAGAACATAACTTCATTTCACTTACAGATAAAGATAAATAGGTGCCATTTCTTCTTCTTCTTCCTCTTTCCACCTTCAACTAGAGTGTCAGCTGTTTTCCAGAGCGGTATAAAAGACGTCTCTAGTTCAGACGAGCATTTAGTTGTCATATCAGCAGTAAAAAGTGACGACAATGAAGGCTGCGTGTTTCGTTTTCACGTGTTGCTGCTGTTTCGTTTTTGTTTTCAGTGCCGGGAGTTACCATGGCCACATTACTCCAGATTCAAGACTTAGTGTGGAGTACGCAGCGAACAAGTCTGCAGGAAAGTATCTGAGTTCAAATTCGGGTAAATTGGAAGTGAAGAAAATTGAACGTGAATATGATGACTTACTTCATACCGAAATTCAACGTCACTGCAAAGATTTATACACGTGTGTTCAGTTAAAAATGTTGGCAAATGTGAGTGATATTTTGAGGGCAGATACGTACAATTTAACAGAAAATGTGATGCTAGAGAGAGTGGTCGGTAGTGATAAGGGGGATGATATTTCGAGGATGGATATAGAAAAACTAAAATATTCTGATAATGAGAGCTTCGGATATGTCACAGCACTGCTTATGCAGAAAACAATAGACATATTTAAGACTCATTCCTTAAAATGGAGTCTGCTGCCTGGAATGGACGTGAGGATATTTCGGAATTTGAATTATGGTGGAAGGATGGATGTCGCCCTGGAGATACAAGACAGAGGTAAGGCCGAGTTTTTCACTTTGAAATCGTCACACATTATAACTTGATAATTTAAAACATTAATTTGTTTCTCCACCTTCTTATCTAATTTCTTGCTCGGAATGAATAAAATGTGTCTCCGACACTACCGAATGATTACAATTACATTTGGTATCGAGAGTCTAGAAGCTGTACCGAATTTGATTAGTGAATTGAATTTTGATATCTAACTGTACGACAAAACACGCGGCCTACAGGACGCTCAAATCAAACTCTGCTAAGTAATATAAAAACTGTTCATCGCACGTAAGATTGGTGTATGAAGTTCGAACATCAGTGGCAAATCGCAAGAACGCATTTGGAGAATGAGCAAAAGCCCGAAAAACTGGGATATGGGGTTCAAATTTATGTTTAATTTCCATTTCTCCTGTTTTCCTGAACTGTACCGGCTGATTTATTCCTCAAGGTCTCTTATCTGCTGACTAGAAAGGTTCATCGCTCACCATTAACTCTTTAAAAAGAACGGCCTGAATCATCCTCGGACTTAAATATTACTGATGATGGCAATGTTTTAGGCCCAATAATACGACCAACACAAATTATCTTTGGCGTGACTCTTTAGCAAAGGTACGCCCCGGGATAGACCCTAACAAAATGTGTGTTTTTGGTGAGTACTTTTCATTATAATCGAAGTCGTGTTTGTCTCATCTCCCTCTGTCCGTTACCAACAGAATGTTTCAGAATGAAAGCACATTCTACTCTTGAATACAGCATGTTCGCACCTACATTGATTTTGCAACTGACGTCAGCAGGGGCCTAGCAAAATGGGTGACCTTGACTCGAGTGTTACAGGAGAGGTTGGGAGGTTTCAAGAGTCTATTACACGGCAAAGGACCTGCTTCTGATTCCATCTTTGTACTGAGGTACATTTGTGTTTCTGGTTGCGTTATAAATGTTACATCCTGAAAAATTATACAGTCAACATCTTTTATTTTCGTGTTTGCTCTCCTCTGACTTGCATTCGTGAGAAATAGCGTCTTGGACGGAGCACAGACCAACCTGAGCCGAGCATTTCGTGGTCTTACTCCGTCCTTCCACGCGAATGAAACAGACCAAAATCGCACACTTCTCCATTAAACCGAAAACAATCTCATTTCAAGATGGTTTCTGAAGAACCCAAATAAAACATGTGTCCGCAGACCCTCGCACATTCGGCGGACCGCGCAAGCGCCTGATGCTGCTCCTGCCTCTCGTGTTCAAGATGGGTGTCATGACGACCTTGCTGGGCGGGTTGGTGGTACTGACGCTCAAGGGACTCACAATCGGCGTCATCCTGCTCATACTGGCCGTGGGCAACCTGTTTAGCAAGTATAAGCACCACGGCCATCCATACAGTGGACCCATGGACATACACGTGCACGTTCACAATGATCCACACGGACAGGCGTACTCGAGTTGGCACCAGGAACATGTGGATCAACCTACGTACCATGTGGAACATCCTGGCCACTATCACAGAAGATGGTCCAAACCGCAACCACCTCTCCCCCTACCGTACCCTGACCAACTCTGAAATAACTCTTGACAGTGGCAAAACTCACTCACAAATCTTCCCATATTCGTTGTTCGTGATAAGGAATGAGTCCTGACTGCCGTGAAGGTGTAGTTTTAACATGGCAAGCGTAGTGGACCCATATTTATTTTCTGTAAATCAGGAAAATATAACCTATATCGGTAGAGCAATTTTCTACGATTGATATTATATTTCACGCTTACAGAAAGGTCTTCGATTTTCCAGTCACTGATCAATATTTACAGATATACGAATAGGATGTAAACATGTATAAATAAAAATTGTCGAAAAATCTGCTGAATGTTCAAAGGTAAAGACAGACCTGCACTGAAAAGACTAGCAGAATTCCAAAAATTACTTTTCACACTCTCAGGGAAGTCCAAAACATAGATCTATTATTAAAATAGGGCATAATTATACAATATCTTATCTCAAATAAGCCCCTTGATCGGTAACTCTAGCCAGCAGGCGTGATGCTTAAAGTAAGAGACAACTTCATCTTCTAATCTTCTGTCCTTACATAACGTATGAGTTATTAATATAATTTATAAAAAAAATTCCCAGCAGCTATTTTAGTCAATAATCTGACATACGTGGTTCACATTCATTACACTTTCTTCAGCGTCGCATTCGCCCAATTACAATATATCCAGTCCTCTTCTATGTTTAAATTCCTTGTCATATTAATGCCCGATTTTCAGTAACATGACAATTACTTCTGTAGGTAAACGAATTGAAGTATGATGTTTCTGTCTCTATATTAAAGCAGCTAAGTTCCCCATATTTAAATGTTTATTAAATCTATACCTACATTATAACAGTTACCGTCTCCATTGTTCTGTGTTATGACATTCTTCAGAGTTAAACACTTGTATTTTCATTAAAAACTTCGTGCAGAACACACCACGTCACTCGATATACGGTTATATATCACCGTTATGGTTTCTAGTAGTTTTTCGCTCCGATTAGTCACACCATCTTTTAACTTCGCCCACAGACATTATCCCATAATTTCCTTCCAGATCCATCTTTCTCTTCCTGCATCTGTTTTCTCCCTTTCAATTTTATGTTCAGTCATTCTGTAACTCTATGTATACAACAAAGTTTACCTTCTCGGAACACCGCGTGCATTTTCTCCTGACTATTCCCTTCACACCATTCATGCCAGTTAAGTCCCTCGACATAAGACGACGTTGTCTGGTTTAAAGCCCATTCTCAGAGTGCAGGTAATTTAGACCGCCTTCAAGAGTGAGTGTTATTACAAATATCTAGTGGCTTGTAAGTCCAGAGCCGTAGGAGAATTCCACTATTTGGAAAAATATGAAGGAGAAAAATTTGTTGTAAATCATGTGTTTCCAATCTCAAGTGTTAAAATTCTTCACCTACGACGAGCCGTTATGGCCCTACATTATGTTCATCACTAACAGTAAAAAGTTAAGACCATGTTGCCACGTTCACATGACACTTGGCTAATCGTTGCTGTTTTCTTGGTTTCGTTCATTTCGTGTTTGCTGTATCAACTGTGCCCCCTTCACTACCAGTTCCCCTGCTCTGGAAAGACATCCTGCCACTGTGGTAAGACATTTCCCTTACGCTGTCATGTCAACGTGGCAACAACGCAGTAAATTTTTTACCACCTTCTTCAAGAAGATTTTTCTGGGGCAACAAGCAGTGTCAGTGGTGGACAAGGAATTTTGTCTGCGACTGTTTACAGCTATGGCATTCGTTACTGTGAAATCGGAATCCCTTTTTAAATTGTAAGAAACGTGTAAGTTCTCTAAGCCTAAAATGAATTAGGTAAATGTATTCAATAACTGAATGTTTCTGCTACAGAACTTGATGTAGTAAGTTTCACGTTATGCTGTGTTGTTGAACGATACGATCGTATGTGGTGGAACATTCATCATTTCGTAAATGTACGTAGAGGTATCTATGTCTTACAAACACACAAAAGCAGTTTAAAGTGAAGTGGATATAATTACATGCATAAATATAGGCACTATAGAAGTAGTTGATAAATAATAATTTAAAGAGACCATAAACAGAGTTAAGTGTGTGTTACTGCCATCAGTGTTATCAGCAATGGCATCCTCAAGAGAATTTCTTCAGAAGAGTAGTGAGCTCACATGACATCGTGAATTAACCAGCTGGAGCAAAGTTACGGAGAGAGGGAATTGTAAATTATTAAGCAAACACGCGGAAAAGATGTTGTAAGTTAACTCCCCACTTGGAACAAGCCAGTATTATTGTTTTAACGACAGAAAACTAATGCTACATTTTTAGATACTCAATTCAATTCTTTATTATACACATTATTAACATAATAAAATAATTATAATGTGAATAAACTAAGAATAGTTGACCATGACACTGGCAAATTCAAGCGAGTGTATAGTTTGTGCTTCCTACTATTCAAAATGAGCCTTTCGTCATTCTATCACAGTTTCAACATCAATCTGAAAAAGATCTAGCCCTGCAAACACTAAATTTTCAAAACTACTCACAGACCAATCGTTAAAAGACAAACATTTTAATTCGTTATTTCGGTACATTATAATGTAAGCAAGAAACTTCTGTAAGAAACGTGTGTTACGTAAATGAAACCAAATATCTATATTAATCACATGATGTAATTTGGACACAAACGTTTGTGACAACTATCAAGATTTAAGTATCTTCCATGGGCATTGTCCACTGTCTACAGTACAGAACGTTTCGGGAGCTGAGCCAGTAATTAGGGCTAGCTTTGTATAACGGGCCCGACTGAGCAGGTGGGCGGTACGCAACTTTCTCTCACGGATTTATCCGAAGATGTAGACAAATCCAGCCGCCGAAACGTTGCACTCCAATTCCAGACAATGGACAACACAAAGCAAAGCATTAATCCTGTAATAATAAATTTTTTGAAAAAAAAATATTTAATTTTTTTATAAATATGTAATATAGTCTGTAAGTCTAAATGATCCTCTTTCAGTTGATATGAACCTCTGTTGCAGTGACAGCAGTGTGCTGGTTGTCCTACATTTCCAGGCGCTTACCAAAAATAGACAGATCGTCGTATTGTAATCTCACAATATAATAGAAATCCTGGGCACCAGAATGCGAAAGTGTTGTGTACCTTTCACAGATAACCGCAATGAATTCAGCCAACGGCAAACGTGCCTAAAATTATATGCATCAACATAATTTAATTCCCAAGTGTAATTAATGCGCCTCACTTCTTCTGCACGATTTACAAATATGTGTAATGGTGAGTATGTCCATATTATAAAATTTCCCAAAAACGGTTTGTCATGAAACATACTGACATAAGTAGGACTACACGAATTTAAGTCTGTAACTTATTTTCTAAAAATTTGCGGGTTAACTTACACTAAACAAAATACAACAACTAAAATAATAGTTTTACAATTATATAATTTCTTTCCTAGCATCGAACAGCCGATTTTCACGTTTCTGGCATTACGTATAACAATGTGACAAGACTGTGTGCTTCAACTGACTGACAAAATGAGACCTACTTTTCAAACTGTTTCAGAAGCCAAGTAGACCAACTCATCACTCATAATAACTTCGTCACTGCAAATAGGAGCATCGCGTATTATATCTCTGATATCCGCGCTGGTCATGCGTCTTAGAAGCGAGAGAATTCCATTCAAAAGCCAAGTTGAATGTTCCCTTTTAAGAAAGAATACAGATGACACGCAAGAAAATAAAATTGTTAAGACCTACTTAAATTGAGGGTAACTTTGTGCGCTCTGTATGGTATACAAGGAAAAGTGTCTACGGTCTCCACCTGGCAGTTGCCTAGCTAAATAATTACATCATTTCGGGTCACACTCCAATCCATACGATTGTTCCATTGCACCTGCAACATTTGAGGTCAGTGTTTCACGGCGCGTCCGTTAATTAGACAAGTGCGGAATAATGAGGTGTTTCGAGTTTATTGACTTCTGAGGCTTAGCGGCAAGCAACTCTGAAAATGACTGACAATTGTCTTCTGGGATCTTGCGCCTTGTACTCCAGTAGAATCTGAAAGATGGTTCTGAGCTGTTTACTGCCTTCATCATCAACAAGAACCTCTCAAACATCGATCAATTTCTACCACACTACATCGTGCAATATCTCAGAAGACAGTCATATTCAACCTATTACTTTGTACAATTAAGACGTCTGGTGGACATTTTCTGTTTTTATGCTCATGTATAGGTCTGTATGTATCGCAACATGAACTTTTTACAAGTATGATTTGAGGTTTTCACAGCTGTGAGTATGAAGATTTCTATCTTCAGGGTTGTTGCGCTGTGTAGTCTGGTTGATGTTTACCAACGTTTCAGAGGTCATACTGCCTCCGTCATCAGGGCGATGAGTATGAAGATTCCTGTCTTCTGGGTTGTTGCGCTGTGTAGTCTGGTCAATGTTTACCAACGTTTCAGAGGTCATACTGCCTCCGTCATCAGGGCGATGAATCGCCCTGATAACCAGATTACACAGCGCAATAACCCAGAAGACTTCAACTTTTTATAAATGTGAAAAATTAAATTTTAGCGTACAGAATGCCGTAAGAGTGTTTCTTGCCATTCTTGCTAATGTATTCTATTTACCAGTCCAAATTACCGCCATAAGCACAGGCGTTACTGATCACAGACTAAATACTTCCTCAGTTTTTGCATGCTCCTTGCAGATATTTATCCATGTGTTCGGATCATTAATCTCTGCACTTCTTTTAAAAGAAGCGTGCCGATGATTTTATACACGTTTAGACATCTTCCTGCCATATGGCCGTCCTGTTTTACAGTAACGATGCCACGCCACTGAACCAGGACATTCATGACGTAACTATGACGCAACAGTTCTGACTAACTGAACAAGCTTCCGCAATGTAAGTGTATTCTGTATCATCTTTTTTTAATGGTTTCGTATTAGATACCGTTTGTTCTGGTAATGGAAATTCACTACATAGTCTGACTTCAACCTCAAACTATGCGAAGAACAAACCAAATATATAATAGCCAATTGTTGGTCATTCATCATCCCTACAATGTAAACGTACAGCACAGTTATTATAATCTGGATATTAGACCATATTTGGGAGTAAATTATATTAAACCATAATTCCTTAATTATTCAAAGATAAGAATAATTTTCATACTTTTGTAAAACAATATTCCTTCATTTTAATATCATGCTTTGTGGAAACACTGCACTGAAACAAAAGACTGTTCACCCATCCATGGTTTACTACACGAGCTAACGCTTCGCAAAAGTGAAGTAAATGGCATTTTTACTTCTAAATGTCCCTGGAGTAATCGAGTTGAGATGTAAGAAGTCAGTAAGAATCCGAGTATGGAATATAAGATCGGGGTTAGAACACCGATAGGAATATTGTGATTTGTTTCTATCTCACTAAGTCCAGAATCAGGGTAGCCGATAGCCTGGCCGAGATTCGAACTCGGTATGGCCTACCCCCAAAATATAAATACAGCTACAGTAATTTGCACGACAATGCAGTATATATGACATTTATTTCCACATCATATATACATTTCAAATGACATAAAATGTTTAAACTCTGCAGCAAAACCAATTTACATTAAGACGGTAAAGAAATCACCTAACATACCTTTTCATTCTACGGATATGATACTATAATTAATTCGTAGATTTTTCAATGGGTCAGACATGCAGACCGCATGGGGAAAGAACCATTCACGTGTAGGGCTACTCAATTTTTATTTTAAAACCTCGCCTAAAGAGTCCGTTTGTGAAAACAGTTCTCAGCATTTTAATCTCTTGGTTGCTAGAAAGGATACGGAAGCATAAGTCTTTGAACTGGAACATACAATATACAGCCTAAATAAAATAAATTTATGTCATTGTGATAAAAAGTATATTCTGATCGTATATCTCCAACTGTGTCACATTTACCTAATATAGCGAGTTGGAAGCTCGTCATTTCAACACGGATAACAAAAATCATATAATATAATCTTTCTTGGGGATTCGAACAATAAATGTCCTTCGCACAAACGACGAGTTCTAGGACGCAAGGTAGTGAGTGCGGTTCCTTACAAACTACAGAGAAAGAGCTGCAGGTCTTCACTGGACACATTATTCATGGTTCAACGAGACGCCTTGGAACAACTAGTTCAGGTAAGCAACAAAAATATCGGACAAGGGAAGAAATCGTCAGTCGGTCAGCCGCCTTCAGCGAGCAAACGACAATACAAAACGCAATCTAAAAAGCAAATGCAGTTCATAAGCTTCTTAAAATAATACAGTGTTGACACTTCTACAGTCAGTGACCATCTTCTGGCGCAGTGAGTCTGGATATGAATATCAAATTACTTAAATTAACATTAAAAGGCATCATTCAACGCTATTAGAATCTGTGCCGATATCATGATTTTAAGATTAGTTTTGTTGGCGAGTTCTCTCGTCATAACTTACATTCCGTGTAATTAATTATAATTATCGTTAGTGTATGTGCTAAAAATTAAAGAAGTGTGACATTATAAAATGTTTCAGTGAGTAATGATGTGAAATTTTGTGTATGCGACAACAAGATTTGTAGATTATTTCATCACCTAGAAGAACATTTCTGAAAATTGTAAATGGAATAACGATCCATAAAGACTATTAAACATGTTAGAGTTCTTAGTTTGACAATCGAATCAAATCATAAACGTGACTTTAAAGAAGATGAGATGTATGAAGTCGTGAACGACGAATGAGAGGAAGGATAAAACTAACGGTTGAAGTATTATTTGGTCGTTTGTGATTCAATTATGACGTAGTTACGAAGGATATTTAAGAGGAAAAGAACAGAAGACAAGCGAAAAGTGAGGGGAAATTGTCCAAAAGTGTTTAAAAATTTCTGATTGCACAGAGCCAGGTAGTTTATAAAAACAGACATGTCCAGATGTTGGCTTCATAATCTTCTCTCGTAGCTTAAGAGTGTGTTGCATTTGGTTTCTGGCATTCTGAAGAATAGGCTCCATACCCGAAACTGGTGTCCACGTTTATAAACACAACAAGGAAACAGTAATGGCGCTTAAAGTCGGATGGGCATCTCCATTTAAATTAAATCTGAAAATTATTTTCCTATCAGGAATTGTAACTGTTTTAGTGGTGTGTATTGATGGAAGTACTCAAATGACAGAAATGAAAGTGTCTGTAGAAGCAGATCCAATGTCCGACGCAGCTAATATAAACGAGAAACAAAATTCAAAGAATGGCAATGTAATAAAAAGGCAGACAACGCTCTTCGAAATATCTTCCAAATATCCGCAATCATCTATAAAATCCGCAGATCACGAAGTGAATTCATCAAGTATTCTAAAATTACAGCCATTGGACAAATATATCGTCACGGGAGATCAGAACATCAAAGGCAACAGAAAACAGATAGCAGCCACCAGGTCTTTCAACATCTGGAGTATTTTACACAGCTCCTTACTAAAGGTTTTCAGGAACTGCAGCTCAGCCACTGGCACATACGAAAGTGAGAAAGGGTTGGTAAAGTGTTTGAAACAGGAAGCGATTCGAGAGTTTAAATCGATTCTGTATACAAGGTCGAGGGGGTGCTTCGAGCTGCGGAATGATGACAACTACAGAACGGGAAGAAAGGGCAACTACACGGATGTCGACCAGCGGTCACGTAAGATCTCTCTTCGAATGAAGGTGATGCCTGGGCTATTCGTCTGGGTGTCCCAGCGGGAAGACGGGCTCAAAGTAGGAATGGAGCTGGATGAGACGGACATCAGACAGCCGGAAGGTGAGTTCTTGCAACAGTAAAATAATGATTTCAATGTGGGCCCCTGTGAACATTTTAATGTTGTGAGATTTCAGGTTCTCACGGCGGCGTTTATGAAGATAACTGTCTACTGTTGCCATGTAGTCTGGCAGAAGTTTGCAGAGGTGCTTGCTGCCTTAATCGTCAGGGTAATGAGTAAGCCGGACTCGAGGAATTTCTCTGAGATATGAGAACCGGTAGAACAAGGTAGAATTTTGGTTTTTAACTCTCAAACCAATTCCTAATCGCTTTAATGATGTAGACAGCAATCACCTCTGAAAAGTTGGTAAAAATATACCATCGTAGAAGACAGTAATCATCATAGTCAGCCCCATGAGAGCCTGAAATCTCACCTGAATTCAAATGACTGAAGATAGATTCCTGTGATAGTTAATTGTGAGCGTATATACGGCAACGATCCTTCGGGTTCCACATAAGTGGAGATTTATTGACCAAATGAGCTACTACTGATGGGTCAAAACAGACTCTGCTCCATGCAGTTGGTTTTGGTTGATTGTTCATTTTATCTTAGAGTGATCCCTATTAGTCTAGCTTATTCAATTTAGTTCGGATTTTTTAGACTTCAAATAAAACATTTTGGGGTCTCGGGATATATTTCTTATTGAAAACTGAGTATCAATTTGCATTTTATCAACCACAATCTTGTTTTCGAGCAACCACAAGTTCTTAAAACGGACCTCTGTACTAATCTCCGTTGTCTCTTTCTTATAAGAAAGCATTGGTATCTTGTAGGATTTGAGGTTTTCACGGCAGTGAGTCTGAAGATGGCAACAATCCAGAAGACAGTCATCTTCATAATTTACTAGTGTCTTTTTGTATTGGCTGTATTGCAGGTCGAGGGAAGGACCGAAAGAAGTTGAAGAAGCTGAATAAGTTCCTGTCACTGCTCCTGATACCCGTGGCGCTGCAGTTTCTGCTCCTACCCATGGTCCTCGGCACGCTGAAGATGATGGCCACCAAGGCACTCATGGCTGGCAAGCTAGCACTACTCCTCGTTCTCTTCAACGCCGCATGGGTCTCGCTGGTGCCGCAGAACGTGGAGCACAACACAAGGGTCGCGAGCGAACATTACGGATATGACGGGGCTGTGGAGTACGGGGCGTACCTCGGCCGAAGCAAGAGGAACCTCGCCCACAGGGGACGCACATAGGACACACTCGTAACAGCACGGAGGAGCCCCACGAGGAAAGATGCACGCGAAGGAACGAACGTAACATACAGCACCATTTGTTTCCAACTCGTACACCGAAAGCCGTAATTAAGTGTTGATAATTTTTGCCACACAGGATAATAGTATTTTTCAGTTGTGGGATAATAACATAAAATAAACAATTTCCTCTTCGTTCCGAATCCTTCATCCACAAATCCTAAACTCGATGCCACACACCCAACTAAACTCACATTGGGCAGAATTATTGTTGAGAAAGTAATGGTCGCTCAACTTGTCAAGAAATTACCCAGCATTTACGTAACAAGAAGGTCCATTTTGTTCTCACAAGAACCAGACACTGGTCCTCATTCTGAGTCAGAGAAATTCACGGCGATGAGTCTGAAGATTGCTGTCTTATTCTGTCCAGGTTTTGCGACTATAGCTCTGTAGGCATTTCTGATTTCCCCCATCGCTACACAGCCTGGGTAGGTGAAACAGCGCCGTTAAACAGAACTTGTAATCTTTTAGAATTTTACTCACGGTAGACAGCGCTTTAGTCGAGTAATGGCTTAGACTTAACAGCATCATGAACTCGACCTAAATTCTTACAATTACGAAGGAATGTAAATGTACACCTTTACGCGTACTTTAAGGATCACAGTGAACCACTGTCTGATACTGCCCTAAGTGGGATCACGAGTACCAAATCAAGTTCACGTTTCTCCTCAGGCCTACTGTGTCGTCCTATTTAGGTGAAGATGTGCACTGGGTCAGTATCCTAACCAACGACGCTTACTAAATGCCTAAAATAATTCATTATTAAAGAATTAATCCAATCCAGAGCTCGTAAACCACAAAAACGAAAATTAATTTATTTAAGTACATTAATTACATATTTCACTTCGGAAGACAGACGGAGTTTTTCTTTTTGCAAATAAACATAAGGGATATGGCTCTTTAAGTTTTGTTTCTGAAAACTGTAGTTTGTATCATTTACGCGATACACGTGTAAATTCACAGCTCTATCTGCATGACATGTAATGGTCCAATTTGGATCAAAGAGATATCCCTCTGGTACCTAAACTGTAGCGCAGACCCACATCAACATTATATTGGATATTGTCCGTTGTCCGAGGTATGAGGAAAATGGACAATGACCAACATAATAACCATTATCACAGACTTGGTTTTAGATTATGCAATTATGCCTTCAATGCAAATGTACTCTCCGACAGAACAGTTTTGACATTCAACACTTCGACAGCCGTGAGAACATTTCCTGAAGGAAAATGACGGTGTTGGGCCAGCAAATGGGAAGGTAGAAACACGTAACGGACTACGTTGCTTGTTCGGAGGAAGACACTTCCTGCAAGCAAGAGGAACCTCGGTTGACCTGACAAAAATGCCCAGATCGCCCTGATAGGGCGTGGCTTCTACACGTTCTGCATTACCAACATGCGCAATGCAAATAAAACCAAGGACCCTATTAGTTGCATACGGAAGAACTTTAAAACCGCAAATTGCGCAGATGAAGGGCGAAAATCTAATACCTAAAAATGTACAACTATGACATATTTTTGGGACTAAATGTTCATTAAACTGCAAAAGCAGAGAAAGAGTTTGCAAAAAACTTTATCTAATCCGATACGAACCTGAGGAATTCTGAGAATAAATTTCTGTCATAAATAATTCTAATGTAACAAAAATCTAAAATGGAATTGTTATTCTTAGCCCTAAAATTATCACCATCAAAATATATTAATAGCTTTAGGTTTACATTCAACATAAATAGGAATTCTAAAACACGTGTTCCTACTGTTGCAAAGCTGTTCATTTTGTGCAGCCAAAAATTAGTTCCCATTCTTATTTCGTCAAACGTTCACCACGTCGAAAATTGTTCCAAATAAGGGTTACAGAGCACGGTAAAATACATATTTTATTTAAGGTGTGTATCTTTTATTTTACGGTGAGTTTTAATTTTTTATAAAATCGGAAAAGGTCGATTAGAGACTCATGCAAAATAAGAGCTGCCTTGGATTCATGCAAAGCAAAATTAAATTTACCTCGTAACTTTCAGTATAGATCCTAATATGCAAATGTTACAAAAACTTCCTGTAATTTTGGAGGTTAAATATACGAACAGCACTTCGTAAGAATAACACGTAAAAATATGCCATTATTTTATTATTGCTGCCTTCAAATAAGCAGGCATTTGGTAAAAACGCAAAAACGTTGAAATTAAGAGAAGCCCAAAGGAGACCATTGCATGTATAGAGTGTTTGCGATGCTACTGGCATTACTGAAAAAGAAATATATACACAAGTTAAACAAAGTTGGGACACGGTTTAATCTGTTGCTGTAAGCAATATTTTTAGAAGCGTTATAACTTGTGTTGGGCAAGGCAGTGGACTAGGCATCACGGAGTTTTCCTCCGGGGGCTTCCCCGGTTTCTCCGTGGCATCCCAACAATTACTTCACTCACACTCACACAGAAGAAGGCAATGGCAAACCACTTCTGGATCATCTGCCAACAATGTATGTATACATATATATATATATATATATATATATATATATATATATATATGAACAGGTCCCTGACAGCCTGAAGAGGATGGAAGGATCCTGTTCATAATATATGGACCTGTCGTAAGACAGAACACTAATAATAATAATAAAAAAACCGAAAACAAATGAAGAGATGTCGGCTATAGAGTAAGAGGCAGTAACAAAATATTTTATGGCAATTTCTTACAAATTTATTCTTGACGTTAGCCTAATTCATTTGCATAGGGCTTATCCATAAACCTGTTATTTCCGTAAATATAAAGGATATTATTTATAAAGATGATAAATGTTTACTGAAAATGTTCCTTTAACGATTATCAGCGACTCAATTTTTCTTCAATTAAAGTATTTCGTATTTGAGGATAAAATCAGTATCACTGATAAAATACAAACAGTTAGCAGAACGAAGATTTCTGTCTTCTGGGTTGTTGCGCTGTGATGCCGCCCTGATGAAGGAGGCAGTATGACCTGTGAAACGTTGGTTAACATCGACCAGTCTACACAGCGCAACAACCCAGAAGATAGAAATCTTCATACTCACCGCTGTGAAAACCTCAAATCTTACACAGTTAGTAGAACGTTCCTAATTCAGTAATTTGTAAAAATAAATAAATTGTTTAATAAAAGACTTCAGCGAGACAAATCTTGAAAATGTCATACTGAAGGAAGACCCTTTCGGTTTTCAAAGACGTGGTATGTACCACGTAATATGTGACACAAATATGGCGAACCTGCCCCTTATAGTATACAGTATTTCCCCAAGACCAGTTGAATATAACGGTATTAACATACGTTCGCTTTATGCAAAGAAAAATAAAAACTGGACTTCAGTCATTTAGTTGTAATTCACTACGAGAGATGGCGTACCGACAGTCAGACTGGAATGTCGTAGTAACGGTACCAGTGGCCAGCAAATTCCGTTCAATATGGACCGAGACTGCCGACAGTGGTAACGATACAACGGTGACGGCGTGAACTGCATGGCTGCCGACAACCAATGGTAACCCTCTTCGCTCAAACTTCCCGACAAATATGTGTATTCGTCACGTTTCGACATTTCTGGCCACATCTCGTCACTCCATTACAGTACATCACGCCAAGTCACGCTTTGTCACGCTTTAGCACACTTGGTAAGATTAGACACACTTTTCAAATTTTCGTCGTATTTTAACACTTATGGCGACCTCTCGTCACGCCTTTATAACAGGTCACGCCTAGTCACGCTTTGTCACGCTTGGCTGCGTTTGGTCACGCTTTGTAAATCTTCGTCACGTTTCCACACATTTGGTGTTCACTTGCTACGACGTGAACCCTTGTCACGCTTAGTCACTCTATGTCACGCGTGGTCACTAAATCACGTTTCGGAACGCTTACGTTATGTTACGTACGGTTCGGCTAATTTTTGCTACTTTGCAATATGTTACATAAAATTACTACATGTTAGGTTAGGATAGGTTGGGTTGGGTTAGGTTGGGTAAGGTTGGGTTAGGTTGATTTAGGTTAAGTTAGGTTGGGTTTGGTTGGTTTAGGTTAGGTTAGTTTAAGTTTGTTTAGTGGATTTTGTTAGGTTTGGTAACGTTTTGGAAATTGCTTTGACGTTTTTACACTTATGGCCAAAATTCGTCACTCCCTTATAGTACGTCACGCCTAGTCACTCTTTGTCACGTTTGAGCACGCTTGGTCACGCCTAGACACATTTTCCAAATCTTCGTCGTATTTTAACACCTATGGTGACCTCTCGTCACGCCTTTATAGCAGGTCACGAGTAGTCACGCTTTGTCACGGTTGGTCGCTTTGCAAATCTTCGTCAAATTTCGACACATTTGGTGATCACTTGCCATGACGTGAGCTCATGTCACGCTTGGGTACGCGTCGTCACTAAGTCACGTTTCGGCACGCTTACGTTATGCTACGTACGGTTTGGTTAATTCTTGCTACTTTGCAATACGTTCGATGAAGTTACTACCTGTTAGGTTAGGTTAGGATAGGTTGGGTTAGGTTAGGTTAGATTAGGTTTGGTTATGTTAAGTTTGTTTAGTGGATTTTGTTAGGTTAGGTAACGTTTTGAAAATTGTTGCGTTTTGACACTTATGGCCACAATTCGTCACGCCCTTACAGGACGTCACGCCTAGAAGAGGAAGTAGAAACGCGTAGTTATCCAAAACCAAAATAGCAGTTAGCTTTAAAGGAATTTTGTATCGTTGTTTGGTTTCTCAGCGAAGAGTCATTTCAATTTTTTTCGGACACCAACGTCAACTTTTCTCCATTTGTTTCATGGTTCCGTGACAGAGTTATCCTGTAACCTTTAAACATTTCCTGCATTTGCCTTGTTTCTAAGCAGCTGAAGTCTTCACAACTTAGTCGGTCTTAAGAAAATAAAACAAACAACCAAATACACCAAAATTCTAGTTCAGATATATAGTCTCACATTCGTTCACATAGATGCATCATATTTTATAGTATTTTATTTCCCTGATCCCTTTTGTGATCGTGGAAATATAAATTTTAATTTAAGATAAAACGCAGGCCACGGAATTTTAAAAGAATGTTTGGTAAAATATTTTAGAAATAAAGTGAAGAGAAAATTGTAAGAATGTCGTAATGAGGAAAATCGTGTTTTCACTCTTCCAATACACATGTTACGGTAATTTACCAGAAACTCTTAGCTTTCTGAGTTTAATTTGTCTGTAGTGAACGAAACCGAACCCGAAGAATCCACAAACTAAGTATCTTGAGTAATTCCGGCAAGAATACATCCGGATTCTGACCAGGAGGCAAAGAAGGTGTGGTTATTCTGTAGGTCACTAGATCGGACGCAGTGTGATCCACTCTAAACCCACGTGTATGCGCGTGCGTGCCAAGGAATGTCTGCTTCCTGACAGTGCTGCTAGTCTGATTTCCTTGGAGGCAAACACCCACGAGAAGATGCTTTGGGACCAGGGCAGTGGGGTCCATTCCAAAAATTAGTAAGAGGAAAGAATCTTACTAAGAAGCGACAGTCGCTCGCCCGCCTCTAATGAGTCCTGATGGTTCGCTGCTGTGTTCGAAATAGCCCACTACTGGAGACAGATGAATCCAGCTCATACTTCCATGATGACTGTGTTCTTGGCTATTGCCCCATGTAGTCTAGTCGACGTTCACCAACGTTTCGAGGGCAGCAATTACCTCTGAAACGTCAGAGACTAGACTACATGCCGCACCAACCCAGGAGACAACAATCTTCATACTCAAATCTCGACTATGTCTGTGTTTCCTTACGAATGAAAGTGGTTTCTTCAGTCAGATTTACCAATCAAATCTATGAGCATTTTCATATCTCATGCGTATGTCTTACTCTCCTCACCCGCCATGATGTTATCGCCTTGATCGCTAGGACACGAGGACCGTGGGTTCGAATCTCACTCAAGGCATGAATGTTTGTCCGCGTCTTTCTGTGTTGTGCTGTTTTGTAGTGGTATAGGCCTTCAGACGGGCTGATCACTCGTCCAAGGAGTCCCACTAAATGTCTAATTACATTAAGAAACCTCGCACGTGAAAGGAGGCCTAGGTCCGTCAACAAACATTGACCCACTGATGATGATGATGATGACGACGACGACATATTGTGAACAGTGAAAATTACAGAGCTCGTCATTTTGTATATGTACGGTTTCCTCATACAAACTCCATGATTTCGAGATCGCCACTAATAAAGGGACACATTTACGAGTGAGCCAACGAAAACTACTCCACTACAATCCAGGTCTGTCCGCTCGATTTATAAAACACTACACTTTATAGATAGAAGACTCCTCATGCCTTTACTTCGTGTTGCCGGCAAGTCACCGCGTTGTCCCACAAGCAACGAAACTCCGCGGAAGCAAGCAACCCATGCTACTATTGTACGTTCTGCTGGTTAGTGACCTTTCTAACTCAGAAAGGAAGATGTTCCTTTAATCAACCGTTGTCTATACACCTGCGTGTTGTTCATGTAACAACTTCCACACCAACTTAACATTTGAGATCTACAACACAAGGAATCTCGTACAGTGCAGCGTGACCCTTAAGAGCGGGTTTGGGACCATGTAAATTTTTTCAGTTATCCCCCGAAAATCATCAGTTTAATGACCTGGGCTTTCTTTACTTAATAACGGAAAATCGAGTAACTTCTTAGCTGAGACAGAAAGAGAGACATAAGCTACAGTATTTTAGTTTAATAATTTTACTAAACGGTTCCATAAATACCTAAAGACTTTATTACGCCGCTTATTTTAGACTGCTTTATTAATTTTATGGAAAGATGGTTATTATCACGTTAGTCCAACCACATAAAAATTGCTTCTAGTAAATTGTGAACAAATTTGAGGGCTTACATTACAGGTCACCCCAGCTTTGCAGCTCTTGTTCCTGCT